GCCAGGACTACCCATTCAGGATACAGAAACTGCAATGTGAGAACATTTATAAAATCCTGGTGCAGGTATCAGCAAAGTATATACACATTTAGGCCTGAAAACAAGTCCATGTTCTCTGTTCTTTATCATCATAGAGACATAAAAAATTCAGCATCACAAAATACTTATACCAGCTTTTGAAATTTGGTCACTTTTCAGGTATGGGGTCCTATATCCAATTCCTAAACCCCCATCCAGTGATAAACTGTGTTAAATTAGTGGGTATAAAGTTAACTGAGGTCCTATAATAAATGTAGTATATATGTTTCAATGACATTTTTCTAAAAAGAAAAATTAGACTCCTGGTTTAAACATCATATACAAACAAATTCCTAATGGGTTACAAATTTAATGTTAATTGCCAAAAACAATCAGAAAAACCCAAAACAGGAGAATATTTTTAGAGCTGTAACAAAATCAGGAATCCTAAAATAAAAGCATTAAAAGATTGACACAGTTGAACATATAAAAATTTTAAAATTTTCTGATAAATCATTAACAAAGTAAAAAGAAGCAATAAATTGTAATACATAATAGTCTGGGCGACAGAGTGAGACTCCAACTAAAAAAAAAAAAAAAAAAAGAAACAAAAGTTCCAGTATATAAGAATACACACACACACACACACACGGATTTTTTTTTTATTGTCTGTAGTAGAAGAACACCAATAAAAACAACTAAGTAGAAACACCTTGAATGTCATTAGTAAAATAGCCGACTAGGATGTTGAATGAGTATTTTGCAGTTGTTAAAAAAGAATGATTTGGGGCAACTTCCTCGGGTCCCCTCCCACTATGGGAGCTTTTCTGTCCTCTCACTAAATCCTGCTTTTAAAAAAAAAAATGAATGATTTGGTCAAGTATGGTGGCTCATGTTTGCAATGCCAGCACTTTGGGAAGTCAAGACAGAAGGACTGCTTGAGGCCAGGAGTTTAAGTCCATCCTGTATAACGTAGTAAGATCCTTGACTCTACAAAAAATAAAAAAATTAGGTGGGTGTGGTAAAGTGTGTCTGTAGTCCCAGCTATTCAGGAGGCTGAGACAGGAGAATCACTTGAAGCCAGGAGGTCAAGGCTGCAGTGAGCTGGGAACCTATCTCCAAAAAAAGAATGATGTATTTATACCTGTATATAATGAGTTGGAGAGTTGCCCACGGTGTATTTAACAGTAAAGCAACTTATCTGTTTAGTATGTATAATATAATCCAATTTTGGTGAAAACATCCAACCAACCCCCAAACTCCTTATGTGTGATTAAGTTTGTATATGTGAGAGAAATTATGTCAAAAAATACTACCATTGGTAGCACTGGGGGATAGGTTATTACAGTTTTGTATATTTTTGTATTTTTCATTAGTTTTATGAGCATGTATTCTTTTATAATTTTTGAAAAGGAACTGATAAATAAAGTTTACTTGAGAGTTCTTTAGCCCATTTGGTGACTGTTTATTTTTTTTGATTTTGCTTTTGTTTTTTTTTTGAGTTGGAGTCTCACTGTTGCCCAGACTGGAGTGCAGTGGCCACTCCCGGCCACCGCAGCCTTGACCTGCTGGGCTCCCGGCGATCCTTCCATCTCAGCCTTCCAAGTAGCTGGAACTACAGGCGCACGCTACCACGCCCAGCTAATTTTTTTGATTTATTGTAGAGATGGGGTCTCGCCTGCCCAGGCGGGTCTTGGACCCGTGGGCTCAGGCAATCCACTCACCTCAGCCTCCTAAAGGCGCGGGATTACAGGCTGAGCCACCGAGCCCGGCGGTGACTGTTTAAAGAGAAATAGGATTATGGTACCTCTTTCCCTCCTGGAAGTCAACTGTATTCAACAACTTCCACTAATTTCTTCCCTGACCACAACATGATCCAAATGTACATCACAGGCACCAATGAACAAACACCAAGTGTATAGGTTATCCACTTAAAGTGTACTTCTTTTCAATCAACTCTACTGTGGACTAGGGATAGGGCAGGGAATAAGACAGGTACAGTGCTAGTCTTCATCTTCATCCTAGCATTCTTCATGGAATGCTTCCTGTTAGGAAGCATATTCTTTATATAATTTACACCACAGGTAGGTATCAGAGTAAAACAAACAGAATGCCAGCCATTTTTACAGGAAGAAATCTAGGTACATAACTGTTTACATTTTCCATAAGGTAGAATTCCTTGAGGTGCTTTCTTTAGACCTTCAGACTTTTTGGAAAGATTATATTCAGAGAAATTATTTTTCAATGTTTCATATTCCACCACTCCTTTTTTATTTATTTATTTTTAATTGGAGTCTCACTCTGTTGCCCAGGCTGGAGTGCAGTGGCATGCTCACAGTCACCCCAGTGTCTACCTGCTGGACTCAGGCAATCCTTCTGCCTCAGTCTTCCAAGAAGCCGGAACTACAGGTGCTCACTAGCATGCCCACCTCAATTTTTTTGTTAATTTATTGTAGATACAAGGTCTCACCATGTTCCCAGGCTGGTCTTGAACCCGCAGACTTAGATAATCCTCTCACCTCTGCCTCCCAAAGTGCTGGGATTACAGGTTTGAGCCACTGCACTTGACCCTATTTATTTAAATGCTGCATAAAAGCCTTGTGTATCAATTCTCAGTGAATCTGCAGTTCATTCAAATTTTTCCTGTGGACAGCTGATAAAAGCATTAGCAGAGAGAATTTTTGCCTTTGCTTTGGAAAGATATCTTTTAAAGTGATGTTTCCAGGAATACAGTCTGAAAGAAAAGTGGTTTGTTTCTGAGCACCTTCCATGTCCACTCACTATGCTACCCACTAAAAACACGAAAGTAATAAGCCTAGGTCCCTGTCCTGGAATTTGCAGTCTCTTAGAGGATGGAGAAATGTAAATAAATCCTACCCATAAAGTGAATAAAGTACAATGGAGAAGTGTGGGAGGCTATGCAAGTTGTCTGTGACATGCATAACAATGCCAGCCCTATTTGGTAGGCAGACTATAGAAAATCCCCACTTGAGAGATAAAAATACCTTCAGCTGGGGTGTTTTTACCTTCCATCAGTCACTTCTCAAAATAGGAAAGGTAGACTGATTTGTTTAACCCTGAAGTTATCCCCCTGTTTAAAGCTCACTATTTGCTCCTTTTATAATATTAACTCTAACAAGAATACCTAGCAAAACAAAATTTGTAATTTTATTTAAAATTGGAACAGTAAGTAATGTTTTTCCCTATCTGAAACCAAATTAAAAAGTATTGCTAGCTGGCATTTAAACAATATGATCCTCAACTTGCCTAACAAACGATAAATGCAAAATTACTTTTATTTTCTGAAGGCAAAAAGGAGCCAGGCGCAGTGGCTGGAATTCCAGCACTTTGAGAGGTGGAAGCGAGAGGATTACCTGAGCTCCGGGGTTTAAGACCAGTCTGAGCAACATGACGAGACTTCATCTCTACAATAAATAAAAAAATCAGCCGGGCACGGTGGTACATGACTGTGGTTCCAGCTACTTGGAAGACTGAGATGGAAGGATCACCTGAGCCCAGCAAGTCGAGGCTGTGGTGGCCGTAAGCATGCCACTGTACTCCAGAGTAGATGACAGAGTGAGATTCCAACTAAAAAAAAAAAAAAAAAAGAAAAGAGAAAGGTAAAAAGGACCTGAACTACTTCCTCTCATTCAGTAAACAGATGTTCCTCAATTTTCTGGCTTTGGATATTATCTTACTTCCTCTCTATGCAAATGTGAACCAACACATCACCATGACAGTCAACTCTGCAGATTACTTTCAGGCTAATAATTTAGACCTCAACATTATTTCCTATATTTCCAGCTATATGCTAGACATCACCACAAAGCACCCACTACACCCAGTGTCTTAAACCTCTCATGTCTGAAAAATGAACTCTAGCATCACATAGTAATGGGCTGAAATCTTAGTTTAACTACTATATTGGCTTTGGGACAAGTAAATTACTTAAGTTCTCTGAATGTATTTCCTTCTCTGTAAAAGGCAGATAAGAGTAGTTCCTTCAGCAAAGGCTTTTTATGATGTCTAAATAAGACAATGCATGTAATGACCTGATCACAGTGGCTGGCACACAGAAAACATCTGAAATATATTAGCATTTTCTCTCCTAAACTTGCTCTTTACTCCTGTGCTGATTTTTTCCCCAAAGAGCATCACTAAGACCTTCCAGTCATCATTTTCAATTCCTATGGTTCCCTTTGACACTTTTTTCTTGTGGTTAACATCCAGTTAGATGTCTAATCTTGATTTCTATCCAGTAAATCCAACTGAAACCAACAAACATTTACAGAACACCCGCTCTGTTCATAGGCACTGTGCTCAAGTATATAGGAATAGAAAGGAGAGTAAGAAATACAATTCACCTTCAGGAAGGTAACAGTGTATTATCCCCAAACATTTAAAAATCATTACAATCTTATTTCTCTCCACTGTCACAACCACTGACCAACTTTGGGTCTTTACCGCTACACACTTGGACTACTGCATTAATTGTCTATGAAGGTTCCCACTGTTTGTTTCTTCTCACTCCAATACTTATAAATTACTTACTATAAACAGATCAGTTCTCTAAAAGATACCTACAATTATCTTACTTCTTCACTTAATAATCTTCTGCAGTGCCCTTCAGATCAAGTTCGACCAGCTCCCTAACTTAAAACACCTAGCTCTTCCATCTGACTCTGTCAATTTACCTCAATCTTGATACAGTCAACAAACCACTTATGTTTCTTGGTATGTGCCCCTGATTTCTGGTTCCTTTCCTTTGTTCTCACTACTCTTTCAACTTGAAATGACCTCTCCCATTTCTGTTGTCTCATGTCTACCCATTTTTCAAGGATTGGTCCACAGACATCCTCTTTTACGCATCCCTCTCAGACACCAACTCACTTCCTCTTGCTTCATCTTGGTCTCTTCTCAGCATGTAATTTGTCCACTCTCCTGGCAATCATCGTTTCCTAACAAAGACTACACTTATGTACATCACAGCTCTTTTCCTCCACAGATATCTGATTAATTACTGCCATCTACACAGTGTTTAGAGCATAAGAAGTGTTCAACAAATCACTGATCAGTTGGTAGAAGAATGAGTTTAGACCACAGAGAATGAGAGAGACCAATCCACTGCACAACTCCCCAACGCAGCCAGAGTGGCGAAGGCAGTGGGAAAGGGATATTGCAATAGCAGGGTCTTTTCCTTTCCCTTTATCACATCCTACCCCATAGAATCCAGGGAAAAAGTTATAGGGAACTTATAGTCAGGGTCTCTGACCCTGGGATATTCTAGCAACTCAGCTAGAAAACACCTTTTTCTAGGACTTCTAAATCATTATACTGCCATATAACAACATATGGTTCAGATGTCAGTAAATTAGCTTAATTTTACTTCCATTAACATGTATTAAGCTGCTAGACTGAATAAGAAGCTGTGTCGGACACTTAAACATGTGTTGTTAGTATGTGAATAGTGAGCTCCGGCTCTCAGAATGGGCTGGGAGGCAGAGGTCTAGGGCCAGGTGAGCAGAACCATAACCAGTAAAGAATGAGATCTGAATTCTAGTTCTCCCATGAATGATGAAGCCTTGGGAAACTCGTTTATACGGTTTCATTCTGCTCAAGTACAAAGTGGGAGTTAAAGATCAAGTTGCAGGATGGAAGTGATGAAGTAAGAGGTAAGGACTGTGATGACTGCAGAGACTTCTAAATTGCCCTTTAAAGGGAATGGCCACTATTCCACTTCGGTCAATTATTACTATACAGAAACACAGGCCCAGTGATGTTTTTCATTTTTTTAAAGAGAAATCAGCAAGTTCACATTAATATGAACTCTACTGTTTTTTAAAACATTTACATGTAATTCAAATTTTTTAAAATTGTGTCCACCAAATAAATCATCTGCCAGCTAAAACCTGTAAATCACCAATTTGCAATCTGTGCCTTAATGGCTAAGAGGGAAGAGAGAACCATCACATGTTGTTCGCTTGCAAAAGCTTCATAGAAGTGGTGAGAGTGGAAGGTAATGCTTAGTTATGATTTCATCACTAGGTCCTTGGTTTTCCCTATGCTAAGAAAGGAATAATAGAAAAGACAGAGAAGACAAACTAGATACTGCTGTTCAGAAACAATGCCAAGCACAAAAAGCAGAGGCCTTGAACACAGTTTAGTCCTCTGGGTTCAGCATGTTGTATAATACAGAATTTGACTGGTCTTTATCTCAGGTTCCTAGTAGAGAGCATCTAAACCCTTGAAATTTCCAAAGTGATAGGAGGGTCTTTATTATTTATGGTGGATCCTGGTAGTTTACACTAATGAAATAACTCATTGAGGGTCCCTAGAAAGCTTATGCTAATGGTATAGCTCAGGACTGGGAGTATGCCAAGCTAGAAAGACCAACCATGTCATTATAGGGTTGGGGCTTTGAACCACTTAACATCAGCTAGACTTCTGGAAACAGAGGAGGCCTGAAGTCCGAGTTCAATCATGCAGCCAATAATTCAATCAATCATGCCTATGTAATGAAACTACAATAAAATCTCTGGACACAGAGTCTCAATGGAGCTTCCTGGTTGATAAACACATTGATGTGGTAGGAGGGTGATGGAAGTTCTGCATTTGGAACCCGACTAGACTTTAACCTGTGTTTCTTCATTTTGCTGGTCCTGATTTGTGTAGTTTATAATTAAACTGTAATCATAAGTACAGGTGGTCCTCTGTATATGTGGGTTTCACATTCCACGAACACTGTATTTTTGATTCGATGTTGGTAGAAAAAAATCCACTCATAAGTAGATCCACATAGTTCTAATCCATGTTGTTCAAAGGTCAACTGTACAGTGCTTTTCTGAGTTCTGCAAGTTGTTCCAGCTAATTATTGAGTCTGAGGGGGCCATGGGAATCCCCAGATTTGTAGCCAATTGGTCAGAAGTGCAGGCCTGGGACCCTCAAACTTGCAAAAGGCATCTGAAATGAGGGCAGTCTTAGAGGACTATGCCTTTAACCTGCCAGTTCTGTGCTAACTCTGGGTAGTAAGCATCAGAATTGAAATATTGACCTCATCTGTACAAAAAAATAAAAAAATTAGCCAGGTGTAGTGGCACACACTTGTAATCCCAGCTACTCAGGAAGCTAAGGCAAAGGATCGCCTGACCCCAAGAGATCAAAGCTGTGGTGAGCCATGATCATGCCACCGCACTCCAGGTTGAGCACAAAGTGAGACCGACTCAAAAGAAAAGAAAAGAAAAGGAAAAAAAACAGCACTGCAAGAGCATATACTTTAAGTCTAAGAGTTACCACTATTGGCTGGGCTCATTGGCTCGACCTGTAATCCCAACACTTTGGGAGGCAGAGTCAAGAGGATTGCCTGAGCCCATGGGTTTGAGACCCACCCAGGCAACTTGGTGAGACCTCATTTCTACAATAAATCAAAAATTAGCTGGGCATGATAGCGCATCTGTAGTTCTGGCTACTAGGAAGGCTGAGGCGGAAGGATCGCCAGAACCCAGCAGGTTGAGACTGCGGTGGCCGGGAGTGTGCCACTGCCCTCCAGCCTGGGTGACAGAGGAGACTCCAACTCAAAAAAAGAAAAGTTACCACTATTAACACATTTTGAGAGGTCTAAATTGTTGATGCCAGAAAGAATTCCAATTTCAAGAGTAATCGGAAGCCAAAAATTTAGCTTATAGTGTAAATTCAACAGCTTGTATCTCAGCCACAAGTGATAATGTTAGCAAAGCAAGTGCCAAACGTTACATTGAGAAGACAGTCAATTTGGAAATGATCTCTTTTTTAAAGCAAAATTTAAAACTAACATTTATTCCTCCTTGAAAACGTCCTGTCATAAGCCTGCCGGCCAAGAAATGCAACCACTGAGAATTTGTCCATCAGGTCCCAGGAGTTTTATTACTTATTTTCACTCAACTTTAAGTTCTTGCCCTA